GGGGTCCGGACCCCCTCCCTGATCGCGCAGAAAACGCATCTGAGGGGGTCTAATTTCAAAAATGTTCTGGGGGAGGGCCCCCCAGACCCCCCCTTCGCGTGATCATCCCCCCCACTCCTCGGTACGGATTTACGCCCCTGGCTACACCAGTGTTGTTTGAAAGAATTTAGAGTAAAATAATCAAGAACTGTAGAATTTGTGTTCACTAGAAGAATATATTGTTTACAACTGCTACTGGTCAATACAGCACACTACTAACGTCCCGTCACGTCCCGTCCATCCAGTCAAGTTTCCAGACAAAGAACCGCGCACACGCGCGGGAGCGCGTGCATTCCCTCTCACGATCTCCAGCCGACTTCCCTCTCATGTAACTCACCCACAACCCTATGTCTATCCAAACCCCACATCTGCATAACACATGTAGCCTCTGTCTTAGACACTGTCTGAACTACGTATTTTTAACCTACATGCTAAACGTCCAAACCTACTCATATTCTAGGCTGTTTACAGCTAAGCTATCTATAATTGTATCCCCCGTGACGAAGTCGGCGGGGATACTATGGTTTCATGTCTGTCCAGCCGCTGCCGCCGCCGCCGCAAACACTTTTCCTTCTGCTCTATAACTCGACCTCTAATTGACCTAGCGTGACCAAACATGGTCTACTTACACATCTTGGGGAGAAGGTGCGCAGCGTACCAAAACCAGGTCACTACGACCGTTATTTGACCTTTACCTTGACCCTTATCATATTTCCCTTCCGCTCTATAACTCGGCCCCTAATTGACCTAGCGGTACCATACTTGGTATACTTACACATCTTGTGGAGAAGGTGCGCAGCGTACCAAAACCAGGTCACTGCGACCTTTATTTGACTTTTACCTTGATCATATTTCCCTTCCGCTCTATAACTCGGCCCCTAATTGACCTAGCACTACAAAACTTGGTATAATTACACATCTTGGGAAGGTGTGTCGCGTATCAAAACCAGGTCACTGCTACCTTTATTTGACCTTGACATTGACCTTGATCATATTTCCCTTCTGCTCTATAACTCGGCCCCTAATTGAACTAGCGCTACCAAACTTAGTATACTTACACATCGTGGAGAGAACGTGTGTCGCATACCAAAACCACGTCACTGCAGCTTTTATTTGACATTGACCTTGACCTTGATCATATTTCCCTTCTGCTCTATAACTCGGCCCCTAATTGACCTAGCGGGACCTCAACAGCTTTATTATCCCTGTTTCCCTGTGTGCTAATATAATTACTATACCTTCCATATATTGCCATTATGTACTGTTTCCGTGTAGCACAGTATTATACAGTAAGATTTCTTTTTATAGCGTGTTTTTACCACTGGACCTTGACCGTCGGCTTAGATTTCCTCTTCAGCCTCCTAGGGTAACCAGATTCGAAATACTTGCACATCTGAGGCAGATCAGTTATGTAACAAACCTCTTTGTGACTTATTTAACTTTACCTACCTTCTACGTCCTTACAGAGATATTTCATTCATACTAGATCACGGGGGGATACATGTAGTTGGCGACAACTGCCCTTTCTAGTTACTAATGTAATATAACATGTATTTTGCACATGTTACACCTTTCTAGCTAACAAAGAAAGTCGCGCGTGCGCGGACAACCACACCCGCTGCACACATGCACAACAACTCTCTCTCAACCGTTTATCATCTCCATCATCCATACTACATCAAACGCGCTGCCGCCGACTAACCCATTATGCAACCACCGTCGTGACATTTACAATCACCCAACTACCATTTGTAACATCTGCAAACCACACTTTACACTAACATCAAGGTTGTTATGTGAAAGTATTTGGACGGAGCTCGTCCTCCACCTCCCAAACGTAAGTCGCAGGAGGAGAAATTAGATGGCCAGCGTGTCTATGATAAGACCAAAATGATGCGTACGTTCCAGCCAGCGTGGAAATCGTCATACCCGTGACTAGAGTATGACCCGGCCAAGGGCAAGGGTATGACCTGTGGTGCAGGCTGTATGTCTGGTAGTTTTTCCACCGGCAGTGCAAACTATCGTTTGGAAACTGCTAAAGCGCATGATGCTTCCCAGGGGCACAGAAAGATCATAGCAAAAAGAAATGCAAGGACCATGCCTGTTCACGAAACAGTGGGGGCAAAAACACTAACTTTAATGAACAAGGCCACAATAGCAAAACTGAATATCCTAATTCGAAATGCACATGCTATTGGAAAAACGGCAGGTCCTACACCGATTACGTCAAGCTGTGCCAGCTTGACAAGGCCAAGCAAGGGGTTAGATGTCGGCAGCACTTACCTCACCGACAAGGCCTGCCAGAGGTTCATTACGGCGATAGCCGAAGCGCCGGGAACAGTTTGGAGCTATAAATGAGGCCAAATTCCTTGCTGTGATATGTGACGAATCCACAGATTCCTCATCAAAGGGCGAAATTTTATTTTCGTAATATCTCGTCTTTGACGTCATGGAAAGAGATCGGGTCCTGGCCATGTTGCTTCATCTGCTTCTGTATGGCCTGCACAAACAATGATTCATTATAAAAGGTAGAGAGACTACAAATGAGAAATTTTCCACTGAATACAGTGACACTCTTGTTCGCTTTAATTAAGATAGAGATTACAGAAAAGAAATCCATTGAATGCAGTGACACTTTTGTTCGCTTTAATTAAGATAGAGATTACAGAAAAGAAATCCATTGAATGCAGTGACACTTTTGTTCGCTTTAATTAAGATAGCAAGACTACAGAAATAAATCCATTGAATGCTTTGACACTTCTGTTCGCTTTAATTAAGATAGAGAGACTACAGCAAAGAAACCTACTGAATACCTTGACACTTCTGTTCGCTTAAATTAAAATAGAGAGACCGCAAAAAACCGCAAAAAAACCTGCACTGTGCGTACGACCTACGTTCGTACCCTAAAGAAGAAGTTGAGAGCGAAGACGTCCAGGCAACCCCGGTGTCTCACGTCCAGTATGCGGAAGAGATACTGCATGGCCTGCGGTTCGCGCCTGTTCTCCAGCGCGAGCACAAAATCTAGGTAGGTTTTGTAATCCATCTCGCCTTCGTAGGTGAGACACTCCTGGAAGACTCGGTCCAGGAAGACGTCCGTCAAAGTGCCTGTCCCGTAGCTGCAAACGCAAACCCAAAGAATGGAATATGTGAGACACTCCTAAAAAAATCTCACTCTATCGAAGAAGAAGTCTGTAAGGGTAACTATCCCGTAGCTGCAAATGCAAACCTAACCCTGTTTCAATACGGGGCAGAGTGGTGTCGTAGGGAAGAGACCAGGAACGAACAAGAACAAATTTTGGTTTTGTTCACTCCCAGAGAGATGTATACGTGAGACACTCTTAAAAAATCTCACTCTATCCAGGAAGATGTCTGTAGGGTGACTGTCCCGTAGCTGCAAATGCAAACCCAGCCCTGTTTCAATATGGGGCAGACTAGTGTAGGATGAAAGAGCTCAGCGGTGAATAAGAAGAAATTTGTCCTTATCCACTCCTGGAGAGATATTTCTCGTTAAATGCATGATACGTGGAGATGTGAAACAGTTCCCTGACTCGAGTGTGAAGCACTATCGTATATGTGTGCAATCAAGGAAATGGTTTTTCATTTGGTCTGCTTACCTCCTTCAGGTTTGACAGCTACTGCAGCAGTAAACAATCTATTTGAACGTTTACGAAAAAAACTCTGAAACGCACTCGAAGTTTATAGAAACTACTGCTAAGAACCGATTGTAATTTCACGCATTATATGCTGTTGCAGTAGATGTCAGCAAAGTGATCGGTTACCGAGTTGTTGCCGGTTTCTACTTCAGCTGTTCTCACTAAAATGTTTCTAACCGCAGAACCTAGACTGGCACTCGACTCACCGCGACAGCTCTTCCTTGCTCAGCATGCCATTGTGGTCGCGGTCTAGGTTCAGGTACTGGCCGTACACTCGCAAGGCGGATGCTGCGGAAAACCAGTTCTGCTCCTGCATCTCCTTGGACAATTCTTCATCCCTGAGCTGGAGTCGAAAAATCATCAAACTATAGTATTTTTTAAACCGGTTACATCAAACACAAGCTAAAAAACGAATGATGTAAAAAAAAAGTATGATAAAACTTAATATTAGCATACAGTCAGGGGGTGGATAACGACAATTTTCTCATTACTCACCTTCTGATATAGTCAATGAGTGTTAGCATCAAGTGGCGATTAATTTTTTATGACAGTTAGCAGCTTTATGCTAGCCGCACACTATCCGATTTTGCACTGTGCACAGCACTAAGCCCCCGCACACTATAACGACCCGCTCCCGGATCGATCGGAGGCCACGCGCACACTGGCCCTGACTCAAAGTTGACGCAAACCATGGCACTCTCGTGGCGTTCCCGCGGATTTAGGCGTGTACTAAGGGTCGGGAAGTGTTTTCCTCATGGTTCGAATGCCATTCATTTCGAATGGCGTTCCCATGGCGCTCCTCTGGATTGGTAAATTTTCTTCCACCGCAACGCCGATCGGTCGGATGGCACTGCAACACTATCCGAGTCGCGTCGTAAGGCCCCGCACACTATCGACCCGATCTGCTCGATTCAAAATCGAATCGGGCCAAAATGACGCTCCAGAGCCAATCGTAAGCCTCCGAGCCAAACTAGAACATCTCATCCATCGTAAGCCTTCAAATCACGCTCGGGTCGGATAGTGTGCGGCTAGCATTACCTGCATTAAATATATGTAAGCAGTCACATGGACTAGACAGGTTAGCTCTATTGGTACAGGGTACATAGCGGTGTACCCCCTTGTAGCTGGAGCGAAGGGGCAACACCGGTATAGCTACGCAAACAAATGCCCTGGAACTTATCAAGAGTCCATAACGGACACTATATGGACTCTGGAACTAATCAATGTTTGTCACGAAACAAACCAGTTTTCCAACGCGAACAACCCCCCCCGCCCCAGAGATAAAACGCGTTCACACATCTCGAAATTCGATGAAAGTAATTACTATAGTAATGAACCTGTCTATGTAACTCGTGTTTAGCCACGATAATTGCTCCACGTACAATGATCACGACTAATTACATACTAATTACACATCATCACAGGGGCGTGTACAGGTGGGGGGGGTCCAGGGGTCTGGACCCCCCCCTGCTCGCGCAGAAAACGCATCTAAGGGGATCTAATTTCAAAATTTTTCTGGAGTGTGTGTAACGCAAGTTTGGGTTACGGTTAGACCCCCCCCCCCCTGGTACAAATCCTGTACACGCCCCTGCATCATCTAATTACAGACCGTGCAGCACGCAAAGTAACAAAAAAATCTCCAGAAAATCGAATTACCACAGCCTCCACCGCGGAGTGCCTATTTTTAGCCCTGACCACGTCCGTGGACTGTCTACACGTACGCAGACTGTCTCCACATCGATTTTTTCTCATTATATACGCTCGCACGCTTCGTACGCCGTTTGATAACCCTGACCGTGCGTTGATCTCCCAGGGCCGCCAGCCATTGGATAACTCAACACAGCCGCCAACACCCACACACGCGTAATAACTTGATAATAACAATAACGCTGTTCACAATTTTTACAATCTCAGCCTGTATGCGTACGTGTGTTTGTGTGTGTGTGGGCGTACATGCGTACAGCGTCAAGGGCAACAAGCCGGTCTAGACACAGCTCCTGGTCCGTGTGTCTCTGCTGCATTATATATATTCAGCGGCTATAGTACTAGTAGGTCTCAGGGGAGACGATAGTGAAATATTAGAAATAATTGTGATATAGAAATTCAGTTAACCCTAACGCCTAAATCCTAACCCTATCCCTAATTCTAAAATAAAAACAAAATTAGCCAAAAAAATGAAAAAAAAAATAATAAAGAAAAAATTAGCCAATTCAGAGCCTAAATCAGGATCACTATTCTCGCCCTGTGCAAAATTCTTTCCCGGCAAACCGTCGACCATTTTCTCGTCGATACGACATGCGACGCAAAGCAAGGAGGCAGAGCAGGAGCAGAAGCAGCGCAACAACAACAGTAGCAGGCAGTAGCAGGAAAGCAGCAGCACGAAACCCACGCACCAGCACTACAACCTACCATCAGCAGCAGCAGCGCCAGCACTACCGCCACCACCACTAACACCACCTCCACCTCCACCACCACCACCACCACCAACACCACCACCACCAACACCACCTCCACCACCAACAGCACCAACACCACCTCCACCTCCACCACCAGCATCAGCAGCAGCAGCAGCAGCAACGATGAAGGTGGCAGTGATCGGTGCAGGTTGCGCAGGGCTCATAGCGGCTCGAATCTTCTCTCAACGTCCGCAGGACTTTGAGCCGCACGTCTTTGAGAAGACAGACACCATCGGTGAGTGATGAATCAACGCAGTAAAACAGACAACAATGGCGACGACAATGACGATGATGACAGTGACGATGACGACGACAATGACAACAACGACAACGACAATGAATGACATCGTCGTCGTCGTCGTCGTTGTCGTCGTTGCCGTCGTCGTCATTGTTGTCGTCGTCGCCGTCGTCGTCGTCGTCATTGTCGTTTTCGTCGTCATTGTCGTCGTTGTCGTCGTCGTCATTGTTGTCATCGTCGTCATTGTCGTCGTCGTCATTGTCGTCGTCGTCGTCATTGTTGTCATCGTCGTCATTGTCGTCGTCGTCGTCATTGTCGTCGTCGTCGTCATTGTTGTCGTCGTCGTCGTCGACGACGACGACGACAATGACGACGACGACTAACCAACAGTACAATAGCAGTATTGTTACACAGAAACCTTGTGATGTAAGACTATTGGTAGACGTTTAGATACAATAATGTAACCCAAAGAGAGTAGGGTAAGGTAAGAGATAAGACAAGCAAGGGTAGTAGTAATGTAACCCAACAAACCTTGTATTTAGTAGTCGTTATAGGTTACTGGTAGTAATAGTACTAGCTCTAGAACTATAGCCCTTTGCTCTGACACAGGCATGTGGCAGAGCGAAGGGCTATAGTTCTAGAGCTATAATAGTAGATGTTGGTAGTTTTCTACGCTATAATTTCAATCGTTGATCATTCAGGTGGTCTGTGGGTCTACAAGGAAAAGACAGGCTTGGGCGATGACGGGGAGCCTATACACTGCGCCATCTACAAAAACCTGCTCACGGACCTACCGAGGCAGCTGATGGAATTTCCCGATTATCCTTTTCCAGCCGACTATGACACCTATCTCCATCACCCCAAGGTTCGCCTCGTGATCTGTGTAACTGATTACCCAGCTATTCACGCGGTAGTTCTACCAGTGTAGCCCCCTTCGCTTCCAATACAGATGCAATACCATGTTTGGCTACAAGGGCTACACCGGTAGAGCTGTGTGAGAGCTAGTTCTACCAGTGTAGCCCCTTCGTTCCGGCTACAGGTACATGTACCACTACAGGGGCTACACCGGTAGAACTAAATGAAAGCTAGCTCTATCAGTGTAGTCCCTTCGCTCCCGCAACAGCGGGGTCACCAAGGCCCAATCCTAGTTTAGCACCCCGGCTTAGTTTAGCACATTTGCAATGAAAGTGTCAATGACACTGTAGCTCACCTTGGATGTGATAGAAGAGGGAGGGGGGGGGATATATATAGCAAGAGTATATATGGGAGAACTCCCATTATATAGCATATCTCCCATTATATACTCTTGATAATGATATATGCATAAGTTTTGATGCGAAAATAAATGTTTCAGATCTGAAAACTTGTCTGAAATTTTGACGAGAGATGGCGCTATGCCTAAATGATCGCCATTTTGGTTTTCGAATATCGCGCAAATAAAAACTAAAATATTCCAGTCAAATTAGTGTAACGAAGAACCTAAAACACAATGTTAGATGAAATAAACGTAATAGGACGTTGTCATCTCTCCCATAGGAGTAACAACTGTTTTGGGGCTAGCCTTACACATTCATATATAATACCAAAATTTAACAAAATCGAATGAATCTAGATGGCCATTTTAATTTTTTCCAAAAAGTGGGCATGGCTCGAAAGTAGGTCGACTGGCATGCTCCAAAATAGGACGTTCAAATCTCTCCCATAGGAGTAACAACTGTATGCAATTTAAAACATGTGGGTCAAACGGCTCTTGAGTTATCGTTGACCATAGGCAGACACTGACATGCATAGTGAAATTGCTAAAATCTACTTAATTTGCATAATAAATAAAAAAATCAAAACCGTGTGATAAGTTTTGGGGCCAGTCCTCATTCATTCACATACCAGAAATGAGCAAAATCCGTTGAACCTGAACTGACTTATGGCCATTTCCATTTTTGCCAAAAAGTGGACATGGCTCGAAATTAGGTCGACTGGCGTGCTCCAAAATAGGACGTTCAAACCTCTCCCATAAGAGTAACAATGAAACATGTGGGTCAAACGGTTCTTGAGTTATCGTTGACCGTAGCCAAATGTTGACGCACGAACGGACGGACATACGACGGACGACACCCTATGACAATAGCTCATCTTGACGATGTAAAGGCGAGCTAAAAATGAGGGCCGGGGTCCCAAACCAGGATTGAGCAGGAACCCATCGCAGTACCACCCCTACCTACTACACCTGTAGCTAGTTGTTCCTGTAATGGGAGTGAAGGGGCTACACCGGTACAGAGACTCCCCGACTTACGAACAGGTTCGGTTCCGAGCAGTCGTTCGTAAGTCGATTTGTTCGTAAGTCGAACATATATGTACGTACGTATACAGTATTGTACAGTAGTGTAGTATATGTACGTGTGAACATCGAGTAACCTAGAAGTGTACATAGTGTAAACATATACGTGAACACAGGAGTTGGCGAAAGTCAAAATCAGGGGGGCGATTGTGTCTTTTTATTCACCAATATTGATATTATACACTAATGGACTTCCGGGCAAATTTTTCGCATCATCGAAAGTGCGTAACTCGATTGTTCGTAAGTCGGGGAGTCTCTGTAGAGCTATTCACACGGTAGCGGTAACGTGGGGAAACTTCTATTGAGATTACAACAGAATCCACAGAGATTACAACAGAGCTTACAATCTCCACTGCTACTGAAAGTGCATCGCAGGTTTTTAGACCATTCAGCGAACAGGGAATCACACTAACAGACAGTATTTAGTAGAGTTAGTAAGGTTTAAATCTATTAAAATGGAATCACAGGTTTTTAGACTATTAAGCAAACAAGGGTACACAATGACAGATAGTGTTTAGTCTAGTAAGTAGGGTTTAAATCTATTAAAAGGGAATCACAGGTTTTAGACTATTAAGCAAACAGAGGTTACACAATGACAGATAGTGTTTAATCTAATAAGTAAGGTTAAATCTATTAAAAGGAATCAAAGGTTTTTAGACTATTGAGCGAACAAGGGGGACATAATAACAGATGAGCGAACAAGGGGTACACAATGGCAGATAGCGTCAGTAGAGGTTAAAATCTATTGAAATTGCATCGCAGGTTGTAGACTAATAAGCATAGAAAGGGTACAAACTGACGGGTCGAGTTAGTGGGCTTTAAGTCCACTAATAAAAGGCTCGCAGATGTTGCATGCTGAGTTGACTGCCTCTCAAAGTCTGAGTTGACTTGCCATGCTAGTGAACTAAACAATAAACCAGCACCCAATATACAAGCATTCATTCAAGCTAACAAACAAAACAATTTCATTTTCCAGGTGCGTGACTACTTGGAATCGTACGCCAACCACTTCGACCTCAAGAAGTACATCCGCTTCAACACGCGCGTGACTAGCGTGCACCGCCTCGACTCCGGAACCCCCAACAGGCCCCGCTGGCTCGTCACGAGCACCGACAGGGTCTCCGGAAGCGAGGAGGAGCGGCGGGAAGAGTTTGACGCAGTCATTGTCTGCAGCGGTCACTTCGTCGACCCGTACTACCCGGAGATATCCGGACTCGACCACTGCGAATGCAAGATCATCCACAGCCGGGACTATCGCGTTCCGGAAGAATTCCGCGGCAAGCGCGTGCTCATGGTCGGCGCGATGACGTCCGGCCTCGACATCACGCGCGAGCTTCACCTGCACGCCGCCTCGGTGACGGTCGCCGTCGGCGACGCCGACGTCCTCAATGCCCGCGGCCAATCGCGCGACGGCGTCTTCCCGGCGAACGTGAGCGTCGTCTCGTTCCCGGCGTCCGCCGAGGGAAAGACGTTCTCTTGCCGCGGCGGCGAGCGCGTCGAGGTCGACGCGGTGATCCTGTGCACGGGGTATCAGTACCGCTACCCGTTCCTCGATGAGTCCTGCGAGGTTTCCATCACCGAAGGCGGGAAGCGGGTCGGGCCGCTCTACCGGCACATGGTTCACGCGCGCCACCACACGCTCATCTTCAGCGTCCTCCCGACGACGCCCTCCGCGTTCACGCTACCTTACGTGCAGATCGCCGCCGCCGCGAAAATCCTCGACGGTTCCCTCGCGATGCCGAGCGAGGAGGCGGCGAGGCGGGAGGCGGAGGAGGAGCATCGGGCGCGGATCGCGGCGGGGCAGAGGCCACGACACGCGCACAGCCAGCTGTTCCCGCCGCCGTACGACCCGAACACGTACGCGCGCGACCTCGCGGCGTGGGCCAAGGTCGCGCCGCTGTCCGAGGAGAAGTTTAAGGACGTCGTCGAGAGTCTCGATTATCTGAATCGAATCCGGAGAAATTTCATGGACTTTCGAGTCGAGCAGCCGGTAAAGAAGGAGTAATCTGACCGTGTGACAAGACGCCGAATATTAATCTTGTTCTTGGGATTTCTGTACTCTCTGGACTTTTGAGTTGATCGGCCATTGAATGACTAATCTAATCGTTCGATAGGCTGTCGAATGTCACTTTTGGTCTTGGTCGCTGCACGTGTAAACTTTCTTAACTTTCGAGTCAAGCAGCCGGTAAGGAAGGAGTAATCCGATTGTTCGAAAGGTCACCGGGTGTTAATCTTGATTGGTGCACGCATAAACTTTATTGACTTTCAAGTCGATTAGCCGTTGAAGTAGGATTAATCCGACCATTTGAAAGGTCGCCGAATGTTAATCTTGGTTGATGAAAGTGCAAACTTTCTGGACTTTAGAGTCGATCAGCCATTGAAGTTAGACTAGTCCGACTTCGATAGGTCACCACATGTTAATCTTGGTCTTGGTCACCGCACACGTAAACTTGCTGGACTTTCAAGTCAATCAGCCATTGACGAAAGACAAATATGATCATTCGATAGGCCACTGAATGTTCTATATAGGTCAGCGAATGTTAATCTTGGTCTTGGTTCCAGCGCACGCAAATTCTATATGAGTATAAGTGTCTTTAAATATTATTCACGAAATTATATTACAAGTGGTTCTATTGTTATTACTTGTCACAGTTTTTACTTAGTTCATGATATAATGATGTATAATCGAGCCATGCTTAGCACATAATAATAACAGGAGTAATAAATATAATAGATATATGACAATGATAATAATAATAATAATAGTAATAACAGTAATAATAATAATAATAATAGTAATAATACCCTGTGGAATTGTGTTTTAGATATCAACAGATGTTAAAACCTTGAGCAATCTTCTGGATTTCATAATGTGAAATGCGTAAATGTGACTTCTTTTTCATGAAACATGAGGAGCAAATAAAGACAAATGTAGTTACCATGCAGGTTAATGTGCATTCTATGTATTTGTTTTTATTCAACCCAGATAAAAACTAATAACACTAGAGAATAACTCAAACCCAATCTTTCTAAAAATTTACGATACAGGAAACAAATACGACAAACCCTCGTTAAAGGGGCAAAATGCGAATATGCGAAACCTTGCGCCGATCTCATGTGCATCTGATAAAATAGCAGGTATAATATCCCTGCAGAATGTTTAGCATACGCAAAGTAACGATGTGATGTTGTAACCATGGCAACAACTTACCTCAAGCAGGTCGTCAAGGAAGCTGCACACGAGGATGTCTTGTATCTTCACTCGGCCCGTTCGCATCGGATCCAAGAAGAAGAAGAACTTTCGCACGGCCGTGCACACGTAGAACGAGTGAAACGACTTCTCGAGCCCATCCAACTGCAAAGCGACGACGATTCGGTTAACGCAACTTTGCACGTTACTTGGGATTATCTAACAGCAGCAGTGTCATGTGCAGAATGGTGTAGCAAAGGTAGAGATGCTCAGCCATGTATGACAGTCATGTGTCTGCAACTCACCTGTGGAAGTGTTCTGTAACTTTGCACGTTACTTGTGATTATCTAACACTAACAGCAGCAGTGTCAGATGAATAAAATAATAAAATAAAATAAATAAAATAAATAATAATATAAATAAAATCATAGAAATCTAAGCACACAATGGTTTAGCATGAGTAGAGATCCATGCAAGACAGTCACGTGTACGCAGCTCACCTGCGGAAGTGTTGGGATCAATTCGGTGATGTAGTTTTCTAAATCCTGTCGACAGACATGAAAACAATCGGACATTGAAACACATAGTTTTAATGACAGAATCTTTACCAACCCACCCTGTTAGTGTTAACAGTACACTACATATTGCAAGCGGGCATTCATTTTAACTAATTTATTATTACGGTGACCAGTCAGAATTGATATCTATCATAATAACAATTCTAGAGGAGATGCCATCTTGCTCTTGCTCACAACCAATGCTTCTAAGCCCACCACCAGGCAACAACTTACCTCAAGCAGGTCGTCAAGGAAGCTGCACACGAGGATGTCTTGTATCTTCACTCGGCCCGTTCGCATCGGATCCAAGAAGAAGAAGAACTTTCGCACGGCCGTGCACACGTAGAACGAGTGAAACGACTTCTCGAGCCCATCCAACTGCAAAGCGACGACGATTCGGTTAACGCAACTTTGCACGTTACTTGGGATTATCTAACAGCAGCAGTGTCATGTGCAGAATGGTGTAGCAAAGGTAGAGATGCTCAGCCATGTATGACAGTCATGTGTCTGCAACTCACCTGTGGAAGTGTTCTGTAACTTTGCACGTTACTTGTGATTATCTAACACTAACAGCAGCAGTGTCAGATGAATAAAATAATAAAATAAAATAAATAAAATAAATAATAATATAAATAAAATCATAGAAATCTAAGCACACAATGGTTTAGCATGAGTAGAGATCCATGCAAGACAGTCACGTGTACGCAGCTCACCTGCGGAAGTGTTGGGATCAATTCGGTGATGTAGTTTTCTAAATCCTGTCGACAGACATGAAAACAATCGGACATTGAAACACATAGTTTTAATGACAGAATCTTTACCAACCCACCCTGTTAGTGTTAACAGTACACTACATATTGCAAGCGGGCATTCATTTTAACTAATTTATTATTACAGTGAACAGTCAGAATTGATATCTATCATAATAACAATTCTAGAGGAGATGCTATCTTGCTCATGCTCACAACCAATGCTTCTAAGCCCACCACCTCTTGATCTAAAAGTAAGAAATCAGCTCGTCTGCAATTAACCGCGGGATACAGATGCCATTGGAAGCTTACCGTTTCTCGTAGGTAACCCTGGCCAGTGCAGTCGTACAGGGACAGTCCTATTCTGGTTTGATGCAGCCACACTTTGCGCATGACGTAGTTAAAGAAATGCATAATCGATACTCGTCCATACGGGTCTGCTTGTTGCAGCTTCGCAAACACACGCGCGGTGAAAAATGGCCTGAAAGAACCAATGTTAACCCAAAAATCATCATTGGAAATCACATGTGGATCCCTTCACCCATCTGCTCAAATCAAAAATTAAAAAATGTATTTACAGTTACATGTAATGTAGATACAGTGCGTATCTTAGTGTCTGAATGAAATGACAACGATTGTATTTCTTCGCACACAAAGCCGCATTCATTAGCTACACACTTGGCTTTGTCTCCTGCTTGTGCTGCCACCTTCTGGAAGTCTTCCCAATTAATTAGCTGTTCTTCTGCAACTTGTGGTGGGGTGTGATGTCTCTCAAGCAGAAACCACAGATTTTGTAACTCATCATTAACCAGTAGTTCCCTACTCCTTCTCTGCAGAAACACTGCCCTAAATAACACAGGTTAAAAACTAGTATCAAATGGTGCATGCAAGTCACAAATTTAAAAGGAGCGTGTGCTCTGTTTTGGAAATATGCTGTATCAAATCACTGTGTGGTCTGCTTTATTTATAAAATTGTTCACAGGTAGTCCAAAGTGTGATATGCCATTCTTACCTACTCTCTTCCCTGAGTTTCTGTAGAAGAACTTCATCTTCCGATGGAAGCTAAAAGACATAGGAAATTCAGTATAGTTATGCTTGCTATCATCTATGCAATGCCAAATTTTATATACAGTAGGGAATGATTGAACCTTTCTTCCTAGAATATCCTGTTTACATTATGGAATTTTCCATCACACACAATTTTTCTGGGACTCATTACCTCCGCCCAACAGAGTTGGAGGAGGTTATGTTTTCGCTCTCGTGTGTTAGTGTGTTCGTGTGTTCGCGCGATCGATATTAGCGCATCGAGGCGTATGGCGTATGTCATTGGCGAAGGTATGCACTCTGTGAGTTCACTCTGTCTAGTTACTTCTGTAATGCAAGGAATTACTGTAGTAACATACTTATAACTTATAGTCTAACTATATATGACTTAATGGAACTACGTATTTATATAAAATTCATTATTTATCATGAATTTAGTATGCATAGTGGCATATTTGCCAGGCAATGACATGATATATTGCAAAAAAAAACCTTATTCGATGCACGATCATGAATATCGAAGTAATACCTTGTAATAAAACTTTGGTATAGCTTTGTATGTTCCGTGGTTCGTATCGCTGCCCTTCCATTTCAGATAGAGAGACTTAAACTCCTCATCTTCAGCGGCCATGTTCTTAGCAGCTTGTTCCTCATCGGTCTGACCTTCAGACGTCTTACAACCTAAATAAACAAACAAAAATTGTGCAATACAAGATTAGAAATATATAACTTAGGATTTTCCCCTACCACTATATGGTACTATAGTAATACTATTCTATTGTTTCCGTTTCGCATCGAGAGTAAGGTGGTCATCATTTAAAAATTATATATGTGTGAGTTTAAGAAACCTAGGTCCGTCATAATACAGGGTATCATTACTATATTACCGAAGTTAATTTCATATGATGCAATGTGTAAATTTCCTTGGCTGGGGACACACAAGGAGCAGTACTGACTTGCCCTTTATGGACCTCATCTCTAGCCATCCATATTCAAGCTAGGAGGCACGATCGTTGCCAACAAACTATTTCGCTCTAAATTATAAATCCATTACCGCAGCTGGTTTTGACTGAAGTACACTCGGGGTAAAGTACAGTTGTAGCTGCTACCAAAGTATATAGGCGAGTGTATTATATCCTGCATGCAAGCTACCTAACGAACGGCACTTATTGATTTCTGACAAACTCAATTTCCTGCAGAAGTGACAAGGTTTTACATTAGAGTAAAATAATGGGGTCAAAATAAATTAACTTGCCATTTTTACCCAATAACTTGACACCTATGCACAAATTTCATAGAGTTTTCTACCATCATGCCACCAGATGTGATTTTAGGGGATCCAATCTACACTATTGGCCACAAGCAATCTTGATTTTAATTGTGCATAGGTGCATGTAAAGTTAGTATGTAAAAATACCAAGTTAACACGTTTTACACAAATATTTTACTTTATGCAGGGATGAGATTGGTTAATTAAATTTTCAGCTGAAATTTAAATTAGCAAACAGAGGAGCG